AGTCTATATGACTCTAGAGTCCAGGTTTCCTTTGTGAAATCAACTAATAGCATCTGCCACACCACTCATTTGGTAATTAATCTTGCAGTGAAATAATGCCATAGCGGTGTCACTTACACTATTCTGTTACCTAACCTCTTGTTTGCATACATTATTATTAGTTTTCCATATGTTTATGCCTTTTCTTCCTGAAAGACTACATATTTGTGTTCTCACCACTATCTTGCACATGGTACTGTCTCAGAAATATGCCAGATCTACTCAAATCCCCAGTGAGGATAGGCTGTTTTCAGGGCAGTTTATTCTTCTGTTAAAAAGTTGTTCCTACTGTAAAAATTTTAAATGCCTATAGATAACTTAAAATCATAGGAACTTAAAACACAGACACTATGCAGTCTATTGCCTTCATTTGGCGATCGAGAGAACCTAACACTAATCTAGTAGATTTCCCCAAGGCTACAGAGCTATTAACTTACAGATCTATAGCCTTGAACTCTGGTCTCCAGAGTTGCTGTCTGTTAATATTATTTCAGTTATTAGAAAACAATTTCCAGTCCACTTTTAGTCCTCTTAGGCCATAGGTTTGAATTTCTCATATGTTGGACACTCTTCTGGTTTTAGCCCTGTTTTCCAGTAAAGAGACTAAACAAAAACTCTCTGAGGTGCTGTGGGGGAACAAAAGCATTCATTTATTACTCATGTCATTTTCATTGAGTATAATCTTTATGCAAAACACCTGGTATTCTTGTCAATTAAACATTGATCTGCCTTTGAATTTGGTCATTCTACTTTGTAGGAATAAATTACATCTTAAGGAAATTGAAAAAGGAAAAGAATACCAGGTTATACAAATATGGATTTTGTTTGCTCTCTAGAAGTGGTTCAACATTAGGAGAATGTCTGTAGCAAAACAAATAGTTGTGGGAAATGATACGTAGACCAAATAGCAATAAGGAATATTGTAAGTGGGAAAAAGTAAAACACAAAGTGGGATATCAATGCAATGTATAGGGATGCGAAGAAATTAGGGTTGTAAATTTTGGATCCTTAGAGGTAAGAAGGTTCTTTGTAAATGTTTGTTGTTTTGTGTTTTTCTGCTTCCCTGGCATTATTGATCAATTCTACAATAAGGACTATGGTGTCCAGAGCTGAACATAGCTAGAGGAGGCGTTGTTGTTGGGGCGGAAGAGGATGTGGGTAAGGAGAAATGGGTCTCGATCACGCCACAGATGGCCTGGTGTATCGTTACGCTGAAGAGTGTGGTCTTTAACTTGTGGACATGTGTTTCGATTCCCATTGATGAGCTTTAAAACAAAGCACACAAGCAAACTAAAAGCGGTACAACCATCATTTCTAGTGATGTATGTCTTACTCATCCTTTGATATAGCCCAAGCTAGGGAAGATGTTTGGAACTCAATAATAGAAAGTTGATGATCAAATAAAACCTCCAGGTGCTTTTTTTTCACATATTCTTCTACCAAGCAAGTTTTCACAAACCACAATTGTTTCATTAATTTTAAATCTTGATATATAAGAATTTTACATTTGTTTCTGATGATATTTTTCTTATAACTTCCAGTTTAGTACCTCAAAAATTTAAGAAAATTTTTAGCACTTTTAATGAATCTTCCATGATGATCATCATAAAAATAGTTAATCATTACTGAGTGCTTACTGTGGTTCAAGCGCTGTGCTAAATGCTTTGCCTCATTTTATCCTCAGAACAGGCCTACAAAATGGGTATCATGACATCATCCCTGCCAAAGATCATTTAGATAACAAGTGTCAGAGACAGGACTCAATCCCAGGTATGTCTGATGCCAAATCCCATGCTCTTAGCCACTACAGTGTGCCCTTTCTGAGCACTTCATTGAGTTTTGTCCAAGCCACTGAAGATCCCAAGGCTAGGGACCAATCTCTGAGATAATCCACTAGAGATTTCCTTCACAATGGATGTATAGCTACTGATTCATGCTCTTTGGATATTGTGATTTGTCTAATTGTCAGTTCCCTTGGCAAGACCATGATCCACACAACTTTTACTATTTTGTTCACAAGACTATCGTAAAAGACTATTAAATGCTTTGCAGAATTGAAAAATATTATGATGATGACATTCCCTTTCTATACTAACACCTGCATTTCTCGTTTTTATCGTTTTTCCTAAGAAATATCCTCACCGACATTATTGCCTCCTTCACTAAATTATTCACCACACTTTGAGCCTTGTTCCCATTGAACTGTAAAATGAAGATAATACTTACTTCACACATTTACATCGCTAGCATGCCCTAAACTCAAGTCCATTGCAAATCGCCCCTGTTTCAAATACTTCAGAGGCCTCCACTTTCCATTCAGTGTGTTCTAACCCTAGTTTCAAAACTCCAAGAACCTCAGGAAATTTATAATGCTACTTTAAATAATAAAAATGATGCATATATGTGTGCTTTGCTCTGAAAAGTATTCTTAGATTTGTATTAGATTATCAAAAATGAATTATGATTTTAATGGCTATAAAGACAAATTTTTCTAAATATTTATATAAAATTCTTCATGACCTAATTGCTAACTCCCCAAGCCTCATACTCAAATTACCTTGCTCCTGTCACCTTCAATACCCACTACACTCACATACACACACAACACCACGCTTCCTGTGGTTCCTCAAAATGTGTATGCTCAGCTCCCCATGTACACATACGGTGGGCCTCATTCCTTCTACCATTTGTGAGGTCATATTCATCCTCAGACCTCAGTTCCGACATCATCTTAATGAAACCTATGCTGACCTATACAAGCAGCCTTAAGTGCTTTCATAGAGCTTTGCTCCTACCATTCTTTTAAAGAATTTATCAAATCTCTTTATTTGATTGTAGATTTATCTATCCTCCTCACCAAGTTTCAATCGCATAGTGAAAAAGACCCTGATAGAACAGTTCAGCCCTCTTAACACCGTGGCCTAGTTCTAACCAACAGCTAGAGAAGCCATTAGCCATTCTTCTCCAAAATCTGGTAGTTGCTCAATAAACATTTGAACTAATGAGTGAGCAAATAAACTGAACAACACTATTACAAATAATGGCCTGTGTTTATTTTGCCTTTATTGTTTATAAATGCGCACAAACCTTACTTTTCTGAGACCCAACTGTGGATAATTCAGCATTTATTTAGTGAAAGGCCAATATAGTGCAGGCTAGGTTTTAGGGAGTGTCACGGTCTCATTAAAGAAGCTAATGCCATTGTTCCTTCCTTTTAAAATTTAGGGCTCTATGGGCAGCGAAGACTTAGCATGCACACTCTAACTTCAGACTCACCCAGTGGCACTATAATTGTGCACTTGGTACTGTAATTCCCTAGTAAGAAGGCAAAATAATAAAGCCTTCAGAGTTGAAACTTCGAACTTATACATATCCTAGTGCCAATCTTAAACTTTATGCAAACCAGCTGTGCAGGACTGAACAAGTTGTATAAACTCTTTGTGCCTTGGTTCCATCAAACTGTAAAATGAAGACAATACTTACTTCATACATTTATATAGGTAATATATAAAACACTTAGTAAGTGTGCAACAAATAATGTTAATGGAGGTAATTAAGATTAGCAAATGTTGATGATGTTGATGATTGGCATGCTGCTGCTGATAACATCAGCACATTGAACTGTAACTCATTGAGGACTAAGTACTATTGACAAAGTACTCATTGACTCCCCAGTACCTACCATAATACCTGATACATAGTAGATGTTAGATAACTGTTTGTTAAATTAATTGTCAATTGCCAAGTCCAAGATATTGAAAGCCAAGAGGAGATAGAAAAGAGACTAGAATGAACTAAAATGATCAAGGAAAGCTTTATTGAAGAGGGAGGTGTACAACTGGTAGATTATTTTCAGACCTGGAGAAGAGGACAAAAAGTTGTTGAAGGCAAAAGAAAACAAACATAACACTAAAGTTTGTAGTCTATGCCAGTAGTGGGGAGAAGTAAATGCAGTGTTTGGCAGGAAGGGGAAGCAGTGAGTATGTGACACAATTAAATACTTTATGTAACAATTACCAAAACTTTACTGTTCAATACCATGCATAGAGATCAATAACAAAAACAATAATCCTAAACGTTGATACTTTCAGAAGCTACACACAGCAAAATGATTCAGGAAAATGATTCATTTGGAACACTCCATGGTATGGTGGGAAAAACATGAGTTTTATAGGGAGATAAACCTAGGTTTGAATTTTTGTTTTGCCACTTAACTAACTATTATCTTGGACAAGTCACATACATGGAGCTTCTGTTTCCTCTTCCACAAAATAGGAATAATCATACCCATCCCACTGGGCAGATGTGGAATTGGAATGAGATTTTTCATGTAAGGCACCCAGTGAGTGCCCTGAGAGCTTCTGTTACTTTTAATAGTGTGAATTAGTGCATTTATGTGTTGTACTAAGTCGATGTGTATATTTTGGTTGTGTATGCTTTTGGACATGTAAACTTGAGCTTACTTGATCTGAGAGTAACTGGGCTTTTTGAAATGGAAATATCCAGAAAAAAACAAATGGGTTACGTGATACCACTTGGCTGCTATTCAAAATGAAAAAAGTTTTGAGTATGGGCAATTTATTGGACTGAATGCTCAAATAGGAAACTAGTAATTGTCTTTATTAACCACCTGCTGTACAAACTGTCATGCAAATACTGCCTTATGTTTTATGCAAAACATTTGAAAACCTCCGTGCCTTTGTTCTGCTTGGATTTTCGTTTCTGTAGCAAAATACATAATTGAATTAATTTCAAGTGTGTTTGTCTGTAAACCAGCCAAATATTTCCTTTTAAATACTTGAGCTCTATGTTGAATATATAGAGTTATGGTTCTTAGCGCATTTACTTTTCTACATTAAGGGGTAGATTTTATTCCTTAATCCTTTAATGGGCTGTTAGTTTCACATACACTAAAGTGTCTCCTATTTGCATAATAAATGAAAACTTTTCATTTCATGCAGGCTCTTCCAGGGGACCCAGCCCCCTAACCATGGGAGCCCAGGACACGCTCCCTGTTGCAGCAGCATTTACAGAAACAGTCAATGCCTACTTCAAAGGAGCTGATCCAAGCAAGTAAGCCTGATACTTGGTCCACTATCAGAAAAAATAGAACACTTTAGCCTGCTGAGTGTGAAACATCCTAATACAACCTTTTCATTCTTTATTTTAAAAAGCAAAAAAATAATTCATTTAACAATAGTAGTTGGCACAGCTAGATAGAGGTTAAAATGTCATTAGGAATATTGATTTCATGCTTTTAAAAATGTATCAAGAGAACTTAACTGTAGAAATCTTTGGTTCTGTTTTTATTGCAAATAACAGAAAACTCTAACCCAGTTCTGTCAACAATGAGGAAATTTATTGTCTCACAAAAGTAAATGTGCAGATCATGTCTGGATGGGAATCACCCACATATAAATTAAAACAATTGTTCATTGGAATTAGGACATGAAAAAACACCTTCCCAAAACACCTAAAGTAGCAAGGGAACAAGTTTTCTGTGACCTTTACTAAGTAAGGAAAAACTGACCAAAAATGAAAGAGAAAGAAAAAATTATAATCAGAGCAAAGTAAAAATTCTAGGAAAAATTCACCACCTCCTATTTACATGAGCCTGATTTCACTTATACGTGTACATACTGACAATGGACTTGATCTGAATGCGTATGTGATGTAATTAAATATTTGACTTCTTGCTAAAGTATTCCATGGATAGGATTCAGAAAATTGATGGATTCCCTGAAATTATATTGTGTATTTTATGCATGTGTATGTGTGCATTGATCTATAAAAAGAGACTATAACATTTTTCACTTAACAAAGGGATTTGTAATCTAAAAAAAGATTAAAAGTGATTAGTGATCTATACTGAAAACTAAAAAACTAAGAGTTATATAAGAGTTATTTTCAATAGTGTCATTAATATGATTCCAGGTCTGAATTTGATCAACAAAGGGAAAACCTAGGTGAGGAAAGAATTGCTCTTAATTTTTTTACTTACAAAGACTAGGGTTTGGAAAAACTTAGAATTCATGACAATAAGAATGGGAAACCAGGCACAGTGGCTCACACCTATAATCCCAGCACTTTGGGAGGCTGAGGCAGGTGGATTGCTGAGGCCAGGAGTTCAAGACCACTCCTGGCAACATAGGGAGACCCTGCCTCTGCAAAAAAATACAAAAATTGGCTGAGTGTGGTGGTGCACATCTGTAGTCCCAGCTACTCAAGAATTTGAGGTGGGAGGCTCGCTTGAGCCTGGGAGGCAGAGGCAGCAGTGGGTCATGATGACCTCACTGCATTCCAGCTTGGGTGGCAGAGCAAGACCTTGTTTCAGAAAACTAAATACAATTTTAAAAACTGGAGAAAAAAAGTAAATGTGTATAAAGAACACTAGACTATATTATAAAAATTTTTTGAAACAGTGATAATTAAATATAATTAGAACTTGGATCACCATATATATTTTAAGTGGAAATTGGTACAACTAATCATAAATCCTCTTGACAGTTCAGAAACACTAGTTTTAGACTTAAAACTCAAAATCTAACAATATTATACTGGAAAACTAATATAATTAATAACTCCACCTTTAAGTGTACTAGCAAGCCACTAGGACCTTTCAACTTTATGTCTCTTTAAACAACATCTAGATTTCATTCTATGCCCAGAATATTATAGAGAAGTAAACACTGTGGACTCTGGATTTTCCACGTCCTTTCTCTTTCATCTTCAAAACAGAAAGGCCATTTGCCACCTTCATGTATCAATAGAAATTACAAGCTACGTCCTACAGAGCACACATCTGAACTGTTAAAGCAAGTAGACAACATGAGTGTTAGCTGTAGATATGCTTTATTCATACATATTTGTTCTGCAGAATCTTCTCTGGACAAAGAATTTGCATAATTTTCTGTCATTCCAGTTCTGAAAAATATTTATCACCAACTACTTATGACCTATACCTTAGAAAATCAAGTTGGCCTGAATTGAGAAAAGCAGACAGAAACACCATTTAGTTTTTATTTTATTTTTTGAGCTGGGGTCTCTCTTTGTCACCCAGGCTGAAGTGCATTGGCGCAATCATGGCTTACGGTAGCCTCAACCTCCCAGCCTCAGGCAGTCCTCCCATTTCAGCCTTCTGAGTGTCTGGAACTACAGGCACATGCCACCACACCCAGCTAATTTTTGTATTTTTTTTGTAGAGACGGGGTTTGGTCATATTGCCCAGGCTGGTCTTGACCTCCTGGACTCACACGATCTGCCCACCTTGGTCTCCCAAAGAGCTAGGATTACAGGCACGAGCCACTGTGCCTGGCCAAAAACAACCTTTTTAAAAAATAAGAGTAATCAGGAGTGTGGAGTGAATGTATATACCTGATTGAAAACCATTGGGAATCACACAAGAATGAATTCCTCTTTGTCTGCTTCCTAATTGGCTTTCATTCATTCATCCACTAATTTATTCAGAGAGACCTATTTGGTCTCCCTTCTTCCACTTTTGCCCCCCTACAAAGTCTCAACATACCATGTCACTCTTCTGCTCAAAATCCTCCTATCTTGTTCAAGGTAAAACCAAAATGTTTCATAATGCTGTTATGAGGCCCTCTATGATCTGCCCTTTGAGACTCCCCGAGCCTCACCCCAGTGGCTGTTTCTCTCCTCCCATCTCCACCTTTCTTTCCTTATCCATGACTGTGCCTCCATCCCTCACCTCCATATTCACTCCACTCTATCCACATGGCCTCGTGGCATCTCTCTTCCATCACCCCAATCCATCCGCATCTCAGGGATTTTCATTTGCTGCACTTCCTGCCTTTGTGAAATCTTCTCCTAGGTATCTGAGTGACTTGTCCCCTGGTTCCCTTCATGATTCTTCAGTAAATGTATCAATCCTATATAAAATGTCCATCCTATATAAAATAACAATATTTGGTCTATCCTATATAAAATAACAACACACCTCCACACCCCGTCAACATTTTTTTCCTCTTTACCTCACGTTCTCTTTCTCCATAGTCCTCCTCTCTAACATCTTACATATTTTGTTGTTCTTGTCATCCATTATCTGTCTTCTCCCCGACTAGAATGCAAATACCATGAGAGCTGGATTTTGCCTGTTTGGTTCATTGTTGTATCCTCAGCTGAAGAGGACAAAGCATATTTGCTCAACAAGTTGAATTGAATTACTCACCTAACATTTACAAAATGGCTACTATGTACCTGCCATTGTGCTAGACAGGAGATATATTAGTGATAAAGACTCTTCGTTTGAAAAGTAGGACTCGTGCACAAATATAATACCAAGTGCACCATAGAACAGGTGTAGCTATGGTGCAATGGGACTCAGAAGCCCTTAATAACATTTTTTAAAATTCCAACAAGTGGCATAGCAACCTATCCCCTGTCAGCCTGTCACAACATAAGCCAGGGTTTTCACCCTAGTTCAGTTTCCCAATCCACTATGACAGGCATAGGGTGGTCTGTACCTGTAAGCCTGGTGTTTGCTGCCTTGGCACTCCAATGACATGGCACTTAAGCCAAATTAATATTAGTGTTATTCCTATACCTTCCTAAATTGAGCCTTTGACTTGTGGATGTATATAGAATCAGCTTTAATTATATTACCATAAATAGTTGTAAGATATCCTGTGTGCTGGCAGATGGGAGATCCAATATATTTCATTAAAATTTTGAGATCAGAAACTTATAAATGAATCATAAAGTGACACTCTTCTATATTTAACTTCATCTTCAGCAACCATTTTATTGTTCTTCCTTTATTATTCACTTTCAAGGAAACAGCTCAAGTTCTATCACCAGGTGGAAATAATGCCAACCAAGGTACCAAACAGAAAAATGATGCAGCAAAGGCATTTGGATTTGATTCTGTCTATAGTTCCCTGTCATTCTGCATCAAAGCCATCTTCTCAGACCATCCATTGGAAACAAGAAATCTACTATCTTAATTATCATATACTATGATATGTAACCCATTTAAATATAGTTATACTCTAATTATTCAGAGCACCTGTAACAGGGATTCTGATATCTAAGACTTTCTCAGTAGCTTACAGGCAGCAAGTTCCTCAACCTTTGCTACTGATTGGGGAAACACATCTCCCGCTATTAGTTCCTATTTAAACAACGTTGGTGCTTAAAAATAAGGGTCAGAGATTAGCTCTCTAATTCCCTGGAAAAGCTTAGGTTTCTCAGCTCTAGCCTTTCTTTCTTTTATCATCACATTTTAATTATTTATTCAGTATCTGTCTTCCTGTTTAAACTAGAGGTTTGCACAAGGACCATTTGTCCAATTTGTCACTGCCAATTCGAGCTCATTACATTGTGCCTGGTATATTGTATAGGCGCTCTATAAATAAATATGTAAATGTATGAATTTATTTTTTAAACATTGAGTTCTCACTCTGAAGTTTGTGTTATGCACCGTTGTCCTCCCAGAACCTATGACACAGAATTTGTCTTCACAATAGTAGATCAGATGTGCACTGAACTGGAACACAGTTTTCTAGAATAAGATCTGTACCAGTCTCCAAGAGAACCCAGGAAAGGAAAAACCAAGGAAAACTCAATGGAGAGGATATTAAGAAACATTTCAGAAAGGTCTTCTTTTGAACTGAGTCTTATAATATGAAAAGTAGTACATAAGCCAAAGAAAGGGAATGGTAAAGAAAAGGAGAGAAGCTACATCTACACAGATGGACACTGAGAAAGAGATCTGGGGCTTTATTTAGCAGTTCATATACGTCATATTTTATGAGAGGGATGCATTTCCGATGACGTCACATCTTCCCTGAACAAAACTGGTCAGTCTTTCTGTGAGCAGCTCAGGGGTGCTGCCCGCAGCACTAGAGAAAATCCAATGTATAAGTCACTTGACTGGTTGACTTTGAAGTTTTGCCATTTTTTGGCAAATATTTCATTTGTGAAGATTCACATGATTTCTTATTTTATTCATGAAGTAAGCATCTATTCATATTTCCATCTCACATTATTTCCACAATTCAAACTCACATGAAATGTAGCCACCTTGCATGCTGGTAAGAACAATCCTTACA